TCTCTCTCTCATGATGGTATTGGTGATCATAGTAAAAACAGTTTTCTGTAATATAGAGCAATAAATTATATTGTTACAGTTAATCCAATTTTGGTAGTTAGTGATTCTCAAGCTAGCCAAGTAACAAAGTCACTAAATAAACAATTAAGTGGTATAAAGCCTATGTAGCCTCTATTATATCTTTCGAACAGATCCCCTTTTTTGTCCTTGACTGGAGTATAATATCCTAAATGGAAGGCTAATCAAAGTTTCAATAATTTACAATTTTAGGATTTAGTTGGTGGTAACTGTAACTTGTATCTGAAGCCACAAAATCGATTCTGAATCGTATTTGAAAAATTGGTTTTGCATCTACAAAAACTGTTTATATGCCGAATCCAGAAACAACACTGGCCCATGTTAGTTCCTATTTTATTTAAATTGGTACTCAAAGATTAACTCATGATATTGTTTTCACATTATTTTGGAATGTAACTCTCCTACTCTTTCTTAGACGACGGGACTTGTTACTTTGATGAGAAACTTGTTGATGCACATGGGCATAAGGGTCCTCTTTCAGCCTCTGCATCAATAGTTCGTGGAATCACAGCTTTGGCGGCAGTCTCCTCTGAAAATTTGAATGTATGTTTTCACATAAGCATGGTTCTACTTTTTGTAGTATGTGCTTCACTGTTATTCTTTTTGCTCCCTGAGACATTCTAAATTTAGTGCTTAACAAATGCAGCTTCCAGGGGAGAAAGTTCTGGGTTTGGCAAAGTTTTTCCTTGGCATTGGAATTCCTGGAAGTGCCAAAGATTTGTATTATCAAATTGATGCCTTGTCTTGTTTAGAAAGCATTAGGCAAGTATTCACACAGTTTTTCTTCTCACAGGCGCTTCTACTCTATTTTTCTGCAATCACATTCCAGTTGCAAAAGTTTCCAGTTGTAGTAACACTGATATACAGCTATTAGTTTCTGTCTGCTTCTTTAAAATTTTATACTTTTTCAAAACAGTTCTTAACATATTTTCCTTTTGCTTCAGGGGATCTGTTCCTCTGATTTTATCACTGCCAGCCACTGTCCTTTCAGTTACCAAGAAAGATCAACTTAAGGTCTGTCACCTGTTAGTCCTGTGCTCTCAATTTATGTGACTTATTGCTTAGCACCTTCCGTTCTTGTACTCTCTATTAATCAACCTTAAATTTATTTCACATCATTGAATTGTATTGCTATACAATTAAGTAAAGAATCTGCTGTACTTCAGAACATAAAGTAGAGATTTAGCTTGCGTCTACCATAGTTCAGAACTCACCGCTGTCTAGGAATTATTCTCTATTATAAATCTGAATTACAGACAATTCATACAGTGATTGTTTGATTGAAGTGTTCTGCTCAAGTCTTCCTATGCAATGTTGCACATTTTGCATGCATGTACTTCTTGCTTATCACGCCTTGTTTTCAGGTTAAGGTCAGTACTGTATTGGGTTCTGCTGCTCCTCCTCTGTCAGTCAAGCTCATGCAGATTTTTGTCTCTGGTTCAAAAGATGCTTCTGTCATCGATCAGGTGCTTCTTTCATAAGATGTTAGAATCATTAAAAAAAACTCATCTCATGTGTCAATACACCTTAAACCTTACGTCTCTTGGATTTCCGCAGAAGCTCAAGTTTGACCCTGAGAATTCAGTGCATGTTTTGGAAACATTGCCAACAAATGTTGATGTTGGAAACTATATTTTTTCTTTTGAGGTACTTATCTTTTCTTATACACCCTCTTTAGTATCCTCTGACTAACTATTTCACTTGCTGAAGCTGATCTTCCTCCTTTCTACCATGTTCTGATATTTCCTGTTTACAATTTGTAGATTATCTTTGACGAACCAGAACATAAGAACAAATATGCAACTGGAGGGCGCACTAGGGTACCCATTCATGTAACTGGAGTCATTAAGATTGACAGTGCAGAGATTGCTATACTTGAAAATGATCTTGGGAGTGTAGAAACTCAGAAAAAGTACATTCTTAACTTATATACTCATATGAGAAGATGATAATTTTTTCTGCATTTATTTATTTAATTTATTTGTTTTCTGTGCTGAAACTTCTTATGTTTCTTGTGGATTCTCTTTTCAGTTTTAGCTCAATTTTTTAGTATTTTATGTTCCATGGGTGGAATTCAATCTATTCTCCTTTTCTATCGTTTCAGTTGTCAACACCCCAGGCCATTAATTTTTTTTTTTTTTTTTTTTTTTTTCCATTCTTCCCCAGAATTTTATTTTGGACTATTTGAGGATGGAGGCTGGGGTTTGGTGTCTAATTTTCTGGCCATTTACCTTGGTGTTCCACACTTTTTCCTCTTTGGCTCTACTCCTTATATGGAACTCATTCTTTATGGTGTCCAACTAATTGCATAGGACTAATAAATACAGGCTATAATATCATTTTATTTTTATGACATTTAGCATGAAGTGACTTGCTAAAAGTGCTGTTGTACTGTTGTCTATAATTCAGGCTGGATTTACCAGGAGAGAGCGCTGTTGCTTTATCAGCTAATCACCTCCAGAAGTTGAGGTTGTCCTTTCGCTTGACCACTCCTTCTGGACAAGTTTTCAAGCCTCACCAGGTTGTCATTTTAGATTATTAAGTTTGTGATATTTTTTCTCTCTTTTTTTTAAAAAGTATTTATTTATTAGTCATGTGTTCTAAGTACAATGTTTTATTCAGGCGTTTCTCAAGCTGAAGCATGATAGTGGAGTTGAACACATCTTTGTTGTGGCAAACTCAGGCAAAAAGTTCGAGATAATTCTAGTTAAGTGCTTTATAAATATATCAACTGGTCTAACTTTGAAGTAGATTTTTTTTCTAGCTACTTAACAGTATTTGCATTTATTTAGATCTTGCCTTCTTGTTATCAGTTGCTCATGATATTAAATGTCATTTTATTTTTAAACCTGCAGCATTTACCCAACCTAAGTTGCACATAACTTAACGGCATTTTGTCTTGTAGGATTTTCTGGGGCTGGTTGACAAGTTTTTCTATTTATCTGGTACTTACGACCTTCAACTCACAGTTGGAGACTCTGTCATGGTAAATGTTGTACGAAGCATCATCACATTTGAATTTTAGCCGCACCCACGTGTTCACTTATAAAGATACAATGCTTATTTCACTAAGGTTCCTTTTGATTTGTCTATTTCAGGAGAATTCTTTCCTTCAGCCTCTGGGCCATATTGAATTAGATCTTCCAGAAGCACCTGAAAAGGCAGCCCGTCCCCCTCCACAACCAGTTGATATGTACTCCAGATATGGTCCTAAGGCAGAGATATCTCACATTTTTAGGGTTCCAGAGAAGCGACCTCCTAGAGAGCTTTCTCTTGCTTTCTTCGGCCTAGTTATCTTACCATTTTTCGGTTTCTTGGCTGGGGTATTTATTTTTCATTTTTTCCTTCTCACTTGCATGGGTGAATAATTTATTTATTTATTTATGAGACGAGGCTAAGATCGTTTACTTTTTTGTCCCTACAGCTCTTTCATCTTCGTGCTAACCTCAAGAATTTTCCCAAATCTATTCACGCGACCTTTGCCATTCTCTTCCATCTGGGCATTGCAGCAGTTCTGTCACTCTATGCATTATTCTGGTTCAAGGTTTGTTTCAAAATTCTTGGTCCGAATTCAGTTATCAATATCACAGTTATAACATTATTTCACTACCAGTCGCATCCTTTTACGTCACAAAAATACGATTTCCAGATACCTTTTTGTTATGCCAGATGCTTTTATAAAGAACTTGTAACATTCTAATTATACGTGATTTGCAGTTGGATCTGTTCACAACATTGAAGACACTTGGTTTATTGGGAATATTCTTGATGTTTGTCGGGCACAAAACGCTATCCCATCTTGCGTCTACGTCGGCCAAATTGAAAACTACATGAAAGTTGTAATACCTACCTATTATGGGAGTTTCAAAGCAGAGGAATGAATAGCTCTACTCGAAAGAAATTCCGATTCAATCTTATTTAAGGACAAGATTACTACTAAGTTAATGTAATTGCATCCGAATTTTTGTGAGAGAGTTTTAAGATTTACGTGAATTAGCAGATGCGAGACACATCATTCATTACCTGTTGAATAGAGTATTAGGGCATAGATGGCATTTTAGCTGGAGAAGATCGTTTTGCGGGATTATTACATCGCAGGTAAACTGTGTAGTAAAATCTTTAATCGATTTTCTTATAGAGCGGGTAATGGATTATTAGCATACAACTTTTTTTGGACATCGTAATGTATTCGAAAACCGGATTTGTTTTATAGATTTTTCAAATTTGAATTTAGCAAAATTTGATCCGTGTTACGGTACTCAGGTGACTGGTTTTCGAAAATAGAATAATCAGACATTAGACTAAATTTTGAATTATAAACATTGTTCTAAAATCGATTGGTTATGGGCCTCTTTTTTTATTCTTCGATAATTATTATTTTTCACATA